TAATAATAATAATAATAATAATAGAGATTTCCCCAAATGAGACTAAAACATAGTACGAGTGCATAATTAGGACGTTAAGTTTATTATTCCCTAAATAAGACTATTTATTACTGATTAGACAAAATTGCCCTTAATGAAATAAAACCCCCTACATCTGCACCGAAGCACCTCCTGCGATCGATGCGCACCTCTTGCGATAGATTCACCTCCTACGCCGACACCACCCACCCTTTTTTGCCAGTCACCACTGCCAAGACCTTGCCGCCACTGCCCAGCGATGATCCCTCCACCACTGCCTAACGAGGACTCCGTCGGTGCCGCCGGCAAGATCGCCGCTGCTGCTAAATTATCTCCTGGAGATGTCGACATCTTCTTAGTTGCCGCTACCTCCTCTGCAAATTATACCGTACACTCGAATATACGGTCCTCACCGTACATCCAGGTATTTTTGCAATTAATTACAAATCTGATGGTAAAGGTTAGGGATGGAGAAGGCTGCTCGGCGCTGGCTGATGTCTTGGGAATCGATGGAGGAGGATCTACGCACATCTCTCTTCTCCGCCCACCATGGCCTTCCACGCACGAAGCAACAACGCCATCGCCATCTGTCTGCAATCGCCGCTGCACAGCCTTCGAATGGAGGTTGTTGATTCCGAACCTAAGGCGGCGGATTCGAGCTTCAATGTCTGGTGCGCCGTCGGATGAAGTTCGCCCACTAGTCCGCCATTGTAGACCACACCTGATGCTAAAATGAGTTTTATGTTAAATTCAAATGAGTATAACGTCCAAAATGAATGAGCACACAAAAATGCGTTTTTAAATTTTTTGATACTCATTTCGTAAGTTATGTATGCTCATTTGGTAGTAATGGTATGCTCATTTTAAACAAATAAAAAAATTACATTATTAGAAGATTTGAAGCAGATTTCACGATACTCATTTTTAGGCTCCTATTACTCAAAAGAATAGGCATGATGCTCACCAAACTTGCATTAATGCTCATTCCAGACAAATCGTGATTTTCATCAAAATTACAAAATTCCCCCGGATGTACGGTGCAAGTCGTACACCCGGGTGTATGGTATACGAACTGCCTCTAGAGTGTATGTAATGAGATTTCTATATTGAATTCTAACATAATTATGCAAACATAAATGACATTTTAGAATTATAAATGTTAAATATGAGAAGAAAAAGAAAAATGAAGAATGACAAGAAGTAATAATGTTGATAAACTCAATTTCTATTAAGATTGACAACATGATAAAAATAGTGACAAAAACATGGCACTTTCAGTTTCAACACAACATTTTCACAAAGTGAATTGCATAAAAATGACACTATTTTGTCAAACAGGCTAAAAGCATGTCATTTTCAATTTAAACATAGCATTTTCATATGAAACTATAAATGACATATTATGTCATTTTCAATACACCTTCACAAAGTGACTTGCATAAAAATGACACTATTTTGTCAAACATGTCAAAAGCATGTCATTTTGAGTTGAAACATATCATTTTCATATGAAAGTATAAAATGACATAAATATGTCATTTTAAGTACATCTTCACAAAGTGAGTTGCATAAAAATGACACCATTTTGTCAAACGGGCCAAAAACATGACATTGACAAATTTAATTTAAAAGTAATTTTGTCATTTTGATAGATGCAATAACGTACAAAAGTGACATTTTTTCAATTTACTTTCATAGCCAAGTCCAAAGCAAGTTTAAAGGTAGCGATCCTTCCTCTGTATATTTCAGGGAAGCCACAAACCAGTAATGGCAAAATGTGATGTGAGGGGTAGACATTTTTAAATTCAAAAATTAATTAAATAAAATTTCTAATAAGAAATTCTTATCGCAAACCTTGTTTTTATTTCAAATCCAAATTCTCATATCTAATTTTTTGTAGAATCTCAAAAGTAAGTATGAATTTAATTGGGGAAAATATTTCAAACATGAACAAAAACAGAGCTAGATCAGCAAGGAAAGAAAAGAGAAGAAGAAAAGAGAAGAGGAGAGGATAGGAGAGGACAAGAGAGGAGATGGAGAAAATTACCTTGGAGTCGCCGGAGAAGAGCAGACGAGCGGCCTGGGCATCTTCATCGCAAAAGCAGTTGGTCTTCATCACAGATGGCCTGGGCATCTTCATCGCAGATGGCTTGGGGTCTTCATTGCAAATCGCTGTTGGTCTGCATCTGTGGGAGCCGATAGCTATTTTGGGGTTTTATTAGATGAAGGGTAAAAAACTAATTGGGAGTCATATTTAGGGAATAATAAACCTAATGTCCTATTGTGAAATTTTAACAATGTGTTAGTCCTATTTATGGCAATTTCTTTAATAATAATGGATTTATAAGGGGCCTCCTTTCCTTTGTTATTTAAATATGACTCGCATGGCAATAATCTACTACGTATTTATTATTATATATGTATAAGAAAATTTTAAAGAAATAGCTCATCTAAACTCAATTTACTCTTAATGAATTCTAGGTGTTTAGCTCTCCTTAATTCACTCTTTTGCTATAATCATAGATGTGGCTATTTTTACTTCAAAATACCAAACTCTCCGATAGAAGGGACTAGCCCTACAGAGATGCATTGGTGGGGCCCAAGCTATAAAAACCCCAATTTTCTTTAAAGCATTATAACGTTTTCATTTTTGTTCCAATTTTTATAAAATACGATGTATATATCAAAATTTATATTTTTTGTGATCTTTCATATGAGATCAATATTGACTATATCACAATATAATTTACTAACGGTCTCTATAATTATGCTTAAATTTAAAATACTTTTATTAATGAAATAAAGAAAAATATCATATGAAAAGTAGTTAAAAATGAACAGTTACAGTAACTTCGGCCAATTCAGACAGCAAAATCCTCCTCCTCCTCCTCCTCCTCCTCCTCCTTCTCTTCAATGTTAAAGACACAGTGAAGAACTATAATCTAAAACATTGTTGGACTTTTTGGAACTCCTTATACAAGTTTCTAACAAGGTTCTAACATCACAACATTCATATCATCACAAATAACCTCTAAAAGGTTATTTTCCGGTGAGTCGGTCACTTTGGCTTCTAAGTCCGTTCTTGGACTTAGAACCACCTTCCAACCCCTCGTTCTACACTTCTAAGCATGTAGGACAATCCTAGGGGTTCCTCATATGACATACAAGTCATATAATATGTGATAAGAAGAGAAAAAGGTTAATACAAAGTCATTAATTACCTTAATCCTTCAAACTTTTTTCCACTTTTTCTTCTCTAAAATTCTTTTTCGGCACTCCCTTTGCTTGAGCTCGAGTTTGGGCTATGGAGGGTGAGTTTTTCAAAGCTTCTCCTCTCAAAATAGATAGCTTGGACGAAAATGATGGAGAGGAAGGATGCACATGGTCCTTTTTTTCTTAGTAGACTAATGAGTGTGGATGGGAGGTCCAGCTGAAGTCTATTCTCACCCATCCCTCCAATCTCCGGCCCATAGCCCTCTCCTCTAGCATATTTGGTTGTCTCAAATTGATTTTGAGCACACAAAAATGTGGATTGGCCCGCACTCATGTGGGAGATCATCCCAATATGTCCCGACTCCCGAAGTGTACATTCGACCTCGAAAGTTGTATTTCTCGAACTGTTTTAATTATATTTTATTTTATTGAGCTAAATAAAATATATATCATATTCCCAATCAATATGGGCCTTTAGAATGAATATACATTCCCCAACTTTAGTTTAGAAGCCCCCGTAATTTATTACGGGTTGTTATCTGATAAATTACCAATACTGGTAATTAGACCTCGTTTGACCAACCGGTCAACTCTATGCCATTCCTATGGCCCACCACGAATATACACCATCATATACATTATCTAGACCAAGATGAATATAATATGTGGTCTCATAAATATCAGGTGATCCCCGTTCCCGATGTGGTCCCCATGTGCATTTCACTATTCACGCAAAAGTAGTAACAAATTAAAAACTTACCACCTCATAAATTCATTAACCACTTCTCAAGGTTCAATACATAATTTACACAAAAGTAAATATATTTGGGGACGGTGTTACAGCATGCTCTTGCATATTTCACATCACCCCAGGCGGAGGGATGACGCGTCACTTAAGGGCGACGACCTAGCTGTAGCGATATTCATATTTCGATTCATGTGATGTGATCTGACTAAGTGATTATGTTGGCCGTCACGCGCCTACCACAACACTCTTTTCCTTTATCCTAGCTTGGGACAAATATGATACCAAAAAATGATCTCTTAGCGGGGTTAAAACATGAGCTCAATAATTAAGAGTCAATTTAATAAAACAGACAATCCAAACTTTGTTGAACTAAATTTGTGCTTTGAAAAATCCATTCCAAATGGTTGACAGATGTAAATTCAAGTTGGTTAAATTCTTGCATATTTCACATCACCCCAGGCGGAGGGATGACGCGTCGCTTAAGGGCGACGACCTAGCTATAGCGATATTCATATTTCGATCCATGTCATGTGATCTGACTAAGTGATTATGTTGGCCGTCACGCGCCTACCACAGCACCCTTCTCCTTTATCCTAACTTGGGACAAATATGATACCAAAAAATGATCTCTTAGCGGGGTTAAAACATGAGCTCAATAATTAAGAGTCAATTTAATAAAATTTATAAAACAGACAATCCAAACTTTGTTGAACTAAATTTGTGCTTTGAAAAATCCATTCCAAATGCTTGACAGATGTAAATTCAAGTTGGTTAAATTATTGATTAGATTCCCACCATCATCTAATGACATAGTTAAATATGTCATTATTAGTGATGTTTTTGTAAATAAGTTTAATTTCAGTAGTATTTTCGAAAAAAAGTCTTATTATGTGAAATAAATATATAATAATATTAATAATAACAAATATTATAAATTTATTTTTATGCTAAATTAGGTCAAATAAGAACTACTCAGATACAGAATCAAATAAGAAAGTTACAACTAAACCAGATAAAAAGTTCATATTATATTTGGTCAAATCTTTAAAAGTTCACATAAAACATCCGGGAAAGAACTTATAAATGTCTCTTATAACTACTGAATCAAAATAATCCCCAACCTCCCAACCAGAGATTTGATGGTTAATTGATTTTCCAAATTCCAATACATTCAAGGAGTGGCGAGCAGAGTTAATGTTCTATGTGTAGATATATATCTGCAGTTTTAATTTTACAGTAACCATAATGAATATATACGCACAACATTTATACCCCAAGTCATAATTTTACAGACTTTATTTATCACTATGACATGATCTCCAGGGCCTCTCTTGCTCGTCCCAGAATGCTAAACACTGTTGCCGCGATATGGGATTGAGTGAGACCAGCTTGTTCCAATTGGTCTGCAGGAGCTCCATGCTCAATATATCGATCCGGCAGAACCAGAGGTCTCCACTGCACAAGTTACACATTGGCATTTGTAAGTTTCATCAATGCCATAAACCAGATTGTTCATTCATATTAATACTTCAATAGTTTGCTCCAATAAATTAGTTGGATAGACAAATTGTTGGGGGGAATCACTTTTGGTGCAATGGCTATTTGGTCCTTAGTTTTGGCCCCACGCTTGCAACTTTTTGCATTGGTGCCCGACTATAAATTTCTTGCCATTATTGGTTCATTCCCGTCACTAATCCTCGAGCAAAAATCAATTAGAAATTGCAATGATAACTAGTGAGACTTGGATTTTCATTCTACAAAGTCAATCGGATATGAGTAATTTAATTGTATTTTTATAACGGGCTAATGTGCCTCGTCAAAGTAGACCAAGTAGTGTGGTTTTATTTAGTCTAGTCGGATCGATACCATATCAAAACTCGGGACTCTATCCACAAAAGATGGAAGAAGAGCTGTCAAAGGCCTTACATATGAGTTAGTAAATTGATAAGGAATTCACAGTTGTAACTCATAAAGGAAAAGTGAAAACAATTCAAGTAAGGAGGCTAAACTTTCTAAATGCTATGTATAGCTGGTGTGATGTTTTTTATGTGTATTGCATACCTTTAAATTACCATCAAGGAGACCATCTAGAGCCATGAAATGAGCCACATGGGATCCGAATCCCCCAATTGATCCCTCTTCCACAGTTATCAGCACCTCGTGTGACTTCGCCAAACTGCGGATAAGGGCATGGTCCAGCGGCTTGCAAAACCGTGCATCTGCAACAGTTACCTGTAAACCACGAGCTTCCAATAAAGCAGCGGCAGACAAACAGTTCTGCACCGCTGTCCCATATCCCAAGAGTGCCACTCGCTCTCCTTCAATCAATACTTGGCCTCTACCAACCTAATGGAAATTTGTAATTAGTAATAAGAATATTAATCGCACAATAAACTCAGGTTTAATGCGTGCCAGACACCCTCTCATACGCATATTTGTGCATTAATAACCCCTGGTGCTTTAAAAAAACGTGGCAAAACTCTGAATAATTAACCTTTCAACAACCTGGAATGAAAATTTAACTGTCGGAAACATGAACAAGACATTATGATTAACCATTACCTCAAGAGGAGTGCCCTTGTTTCCAGGTGGCAACTTCACACCCACTCCATTCCCTCTTGGATACCTGAAACAGCTAGGGCGGTCATCTATGGCTGCAGCTGTTGCTACCATATGAAACAGCTGGGCCTCATCAGAAGGAGCCATCACTACCATGTTTGGAAGACATGCCATAAAGGTGACATCAAAAGCACCACAATGTGTGGGCCCATCAGCTCCTACCAAACCCGCCCTGTCCATTGCAAACCTGACCGGCAGCTTCTGCAAATCCACATCATGCACTACCTGGATGCATAACAAGACTTTTAGGAACTTTTGACTTGTGACGGAATGTTAATAGAATTGTGGTACATTTGGTAGGAAAAAGTGTTCAGGGAGATCCATTTAGGGGGTGTTTCAACCTGCTTCTTAAAACTGATTATGTTCCTCCAATGACCACACAGAAGCAAAATTACTTTATTTAATGTTTGGATAAAAATTTGGAAACACTACTGAAAGGAGGTAAGGGTCAGATTGGTCCTCGAAATTGCATAAAAAAGGTCAAATAAGTCCTTACTGTCTGGCCGTCGCCATTTGGGGAGGTTTCCGGTGGAATTTTTTGACCATCTTATTCATCAAGTCTAGTTTACTCATACCAAATTTCAGCTAAAACTTCAATCGGGAAGGCATTCAAATGAATTCTTGAAGGTAACTGCGCAGTTACCTTCAAGAATTCATTTGAATGCCTTCCCGATTGAAGTTTTAGCTTAAATTTGGTATGAGTAAACTAGACTTAATGAATAAGATGCTCAAAAAATTTCATCAAAAAATTCCGCCGGGAACCACCCCGAATGGCGACGGCCGGACAAAGCCTCCTATATAAGGACTTATTTGACCCTTTTTATGCAACTTCGAGGACCAATCTGACCCTTACCTCCTTCTGAAAGGTTAGAAAACAATTTTAAAAATGATATTTGGTACTAACTACCAAGTTTACAAATACTGCTAATAATTCTCACATTTTTACACAAAAGAAAAAACAAGTTATCCAAACACTCCAAGCTGAATCTCTACCTCATAGAGCAGTTAATGTCAAAAACTCAATATAATCACTTTCTTACTGTTCAAAATTTTATTTCTGATTCTGCATTATTACAAGAAACAGAATCAAAATCAATTCCAAACATCCCCTTGACCTAGATTTTACTTATGTTGATTATTGTGCTAATAAGCAGAATAAGCCATTTATGGCTACCAAACGGATCCTGCATTGCACAAGAAAGCTGGAAATGTTGGCTTGCCTGGTCATAAGCTCTTTGCATGAAAGATGAATAAATTGCACAGAAAGGCTTAAGGCCTTCACAGGCCAACCCAGCAGCAAAAGTCACTGCGTGCTGTTCAGCTATCCCAACATCAAAGCACCGTGTTGGGAAGCGGCGAAGGAAAAGATTCAAACCAGTCCCACCCCCCATGGCCGCATGGATTGCTACAATGTCTTTATCTGCTTCTGCTTCTGCAACCAAAGCCTCTGCAAAGTATGTTGTGTATGACTGTGTCTTGGCACTTGTTTTGAATTGTTTTCCTGATGCAGGATCAAATTTCACCACTCCTGCAAGTAAGTAGAGAACATAAGGCAACAGTACCAGGGGAGGGAGTTATTGCTTCGGAATAAGATGATCAATCACCGTGGTACTTGTCTGCGGCTTTTTCAGCATAAGGATAGCCTCTGCCCTTCTCAGTAATAACATGGATTAGAACCGGGCCAGTGGTCTTCGTGCTCTTGACTTCTTTAAGAATAGATATAAGATCATTAACGTTATGGCCATCAACAGGACCAATGTAATAAAGCCCAAGTTCTTCAAAGAGTGTTGACCCAGAGCCACTGATCAGCCCACGAGCATATTCATCCACTTTTGCTGCCAGCTCATGCATCGATCCTCCGATCTGCTTTGTAACTCCCTGACAGAAATTCCAATCGCAAATCTCTTTTAATGCTGAGGTTATTAAAAACTTTTATTCTCCCTGTAGAGTATTTATTATATTCTTTAGTAATGCTTACCTTAGCAACTTCTCTCAATTCTCTTAGAGGCTTGTTGGACTGTAACCGACTCAAAGCACTACTGAGAGCTCCTACAGGAGGAGCGGGCCCATCTAGAGTAGCAGTGGGTAAAGAGACTTGCTTGTTGTCATTAAGGATGACAATCATGTCAGAATCCAGGTAACCAGCATTGTTCATTGCTTCATAAGCTTGGCCTGCTGTCATGGCACCATCACCTATGACCGCAATAACACTGTTTTTTCTTCCTTTTAGATCTCTTCCCACCGCCATTCCTGTCATCCAGAGTTTTAATTTCATATAATCTTTAGCTTTAAGCAACATGCATCATTATTGCTTAGCAGCAGGAACAGACGCTACTTTTGTACTTCACCTACTGAATTGGCAAATAATGAAAAAAAAGTAAAGTTCATGATATTTTTTTGGAAAGAGGGTCATTTTAGCTATTTTTTATATACTAGTAAACTACATTTTAAATGATTTTCATATTCAATATATTCAACCATTTCCATCCATAACTTCAGCAATTTCAGCCGTCAACAGATTAGCTAAGTTTATTGTTACCAAATGAGCTCTTAACACTAGTGGCATAGCCAAGAACACTTATATCCTGATTTTGCGGTGGACCAGAAAATGACTTCATTCACATGTACTCTTAAATAAAAGTTTTACACAATGAAAAAACATTCGGGATAGGGCCAGTCCCGGGTTGCCCTCTATCTAGCACTAATGACACTTATATACAAGATGTTTTCATCGTAAGGTGAATGTAAGTTTGAAGCTCTGAAGCATCTCATCTATTGTGCGACATATATGGATGAAGCAAGAAGAAAAAAGATGGCTAGCAACAATTACATCCACATAGGTTCAAAGAAGATAGAATTCCGCATTAGGTTGGGGTTACTCTACTAGGCCATAAGACATTTGGGACACATCAAATCTATTAGCTAGTTTGACCCAAAAACTTGTTAACGCATAATAAGTTTTTGGGTGTTTATTTATCCGGTGTGGGGCTCTAACACAAGGCAATGTGTACTATAAATGGAGGACAAAGAAAGAGTCCTACCTAAGCCTGCAGAGATGGTGGTCGAACTGTGGCCAGTTCCAAAGCAATCATGCTCGCTTTCTGAACGCTTAGTGAAAGGTGAGAGGCCGTTAGTCTGTCTCAATGTTGGCATCTTTTCCCTTCTACCAGTCAAAATTTTATGAGGGTAGGACTGTTAAACCCAAAATATCAGCTTCAGCACTCATAGTATCTTAGAGGACAAATTGAACAAAATTCAGCTACGATGTGGTGAAACCATTACCTGATGACCAACATCCCATAGTATCTTATCTTGTGGGGAATTGAAGACATAATGAAGGGCCACTGTCAGCTCAATCACACCAAGACTGGAACCAAGGTGACCCCCAGTCTTTGAAACATTAAATATTACGTCCGAGCGGAGCTCATTTGCAAGTTGTTTAAGTTCCTGGAGTTTAAAATCCAAAATCCTAATCAGTGATCACTCTTTCATGAATAGGCAGCAGATAGATTTAAAATTGACCTTTCAGATAGAGGATGGATCTTCAGTATTATTTCTTTGGATAACCTCTTAGGCTATTACCTTAAGAGACAGATTTTTCATGTGAATTGGATAGTTAATAGTGTCCAAAAGAGGAGTTGGTGGTTTCTGCGAGTGGTACTCATCTTTCTCTGCCAGTGAAGCTTGAACACCACCTGACCTTCTCTTGAACTGTACACAAAAGATCAAACTGACTATCTGATCAAATGATTTCAAAAATCCAAAAAATTCAAACAAAATATAGACTATATAGTTTGATTTTAAGCAGACAATCATTTCCCCAACCTTTGAATTTTTAAACTAAGACAAACCGGAAGCCGGACAATAAAGACAAGCGAAATGCCCACCCCTAATTTTATTTTAGGACTCTGTGTAAAACATCAAGAATCGATAGCCAAATACACAGATAAGTTAAATTACAAATCAGCAATTATGTGTCATTTCTTTAAAAGTAGAAGATGATTCTGCTTGGAAGAATGAACCTATCCTATTTTCAGAAAAATACAACAATATCTATTAAAATTGCTGAAAACATCGAAAAATTGCTTCGCAATGCATTAATAGAAGGCATATAAAATCTCCTTCTCAATGCATTAGAATTTTTAGATGACTTCCCATTCAGTTTACAGAGTTTAATCATGGTTGACCTAACAAATTATACAAATATACAATAGTAAAGTCATATAGTAATTAAACATGTGAAACTTCACTAGTTTTGACTTTTGATAGTACTAATTTAATTTAACATTCCTTAGGTGTTTATGAATTTAAATGGCCTTACAACCCTTAATTTAAACATAATTGTACATATGATATATTTAATAAAGGAATTTTATTATTCAAAAGATAGATTTATTATCAATAAGGGACCTGAAAGATAAAGTGTGTTGATATAGGGCTCTAATGATTGAAAACTATCCATCTAAGACCTAAAATATCATAGATTTTGATTTATTTAATTTTTTATTAATTCCATTTCTAAATTTTAATGATTCATTCTTCACAAAAGTTTATTATTTTAATAAGATTAAATAATACTTAAATTTAAAAAAAAAATCATGATATTTTAGGCCCTAGATTATTGATAGTTTTCAATTATTCGGACCCTATACTATACAATTTTTCAGGTCCCTCATTCATATTGAATCTATCATAAATGCATAGCATAGAATAGCATAAATCTAAATCATAAATGCATACTAACATATACAGTGACATACACTGATCATGCAGATAACAATACCAATGCTGAAATACGCATAATCAATTAAGATTATTTACGGAGTAATAAAATATAAAAGATTAAAGATATAAAACTTATCTCAACGCTTAAAATATACTCCGTAAAAGATTAAAAATTAAAAATATAAAGCTTATCTCAGCCACCTTCATGCATCCACACCAGAAGGGCACATCGTTTCATTCCCACCGACCCTCCTTTGAATTTATTTATTTTTCCCCATTTAGTTACACATCGTTTCACAAAGGTCCCGTTTGGCACGCGCACCTAATTCCTATATATAGCAGCTTGACTACTCCAGCGAAGGGGCAGGGCACCTGCTAGCCCCTCCCTGGTTCCGCCAGTGATTGAAAACAAGGAGACCACACAAAAGAATGAAATTGCAAGAATGCCCAAAGCTGACAATACAAAGTTTAATCAAGAACCAAACCTGACTGGGCTTATACCGGAACTGAAGATGGGGATCTGCTCCGTTGAACCGGTGAGAGCCAAAAGCTCTTAGCTTTTGAAGATCCAAACCCCCAGTCTGGCTCAAATTCCCAGGGAGTGCGTGTGTACAAAGAGCCATCTTTTCTCAAACTTAAGAACGCAGGTTCAAGTTTGAAGACCGGTCGGAGAGTGATCAAGAAAACAGAAAAGACACGCCAAATATACCTGTCTTTTATATGGGTGGTTCAAGAAATTAATGGTAGCAAGCCACTACTGGTAGTACTGCAACTTTTGACTATAATTCATGGTCGGAGGGGAAAAATCTAAGAAAATTACTGCGGAGAAATTGGACGGTGGACGAAGGGGTTGAAATTCTGAAAATTGCTTAACCTTTCAGAATTGGCTTTGGTTGGAGTGGAAACTGGGGAGAATGAGTAAATGAAGTTTGGTTGACTTGTATACAGTATGTGGACTGAGCGAACGGCTTGCTATTTCGCCACGCTAGCAGAGATTGGAAATGGATGTAAGGAATTGTTGATGTGGGGACGAAATATGCCACTCACTTCATTCCATTTCTAAATATATCGTTATAAATAAAGAAATAAAGTATCTATATTACCTTTGTAAAAAATTGATGGACACGTAGTATAACATTGATATCTTTTCCAATAGTGACAAAAAGAATGTTACTAGCTTTCTATTTGGATTAACAATAAAAAAGAATGTTACTAACTTTCTATTTGGATTAACAAAAAACTGTTGTAAAATCCTGGAAATGACAAGTGTGAATTGTTCATCCTTGTCATCAATCCAGAAATTATATTTAATCCTTGTAACCTAGTTAGAACAGATGACTCAAATTGTTATTGCCACCAAATCTGTAGATTCATCCCTTAAGTGACTAATCATCAAGTTCAAACAGTATAAATAGAAGCTTGATGAGGCATTGTAAATTTATTCAGAAATTCAGAAATTCTCATATATTAAGAAGAAGATATTTAGAGCTTTTATTAATATATCTATCTCTCAAATTTAGTCTTCATCTTCTTCATTTTCACAACACGTTATCAGCACGAATCTGCTCAAAACTCTCCAAGAAATCATCTTCATGCAGGTATGAGCATCAATATTAATTATCTTCTTTAATTTTCTGAAATAATCAAAACACTTTTCAGAATAAATATATACTTCGCACTCAAATATAGTAATTGGTTGCCAAAATAAAATTACGTACTATATTTTTAATAATAGAAGCTCAGGAATAGAAATTTACCTCAATTTGAGTGCCTTTAATCTTGAAAACTTTTCGTAGAACAAAAACGGAACCATATTCTGACTCCAGGAGGAATAATACTATGTAATACGTAATACATAATAGTATCACTTGAAATGGTAGAACAAGAAGATAGAATGATACACTAGCTCCATTGCAAATTTAGCCCGTGTATAAAATATGAAGTATTTTCGTAGTCTCGATCGTTATTAAGCCGGCTCATGTCTGTCAAAACCTAAATAAATATATGCTGCACTACTTTAGTCACGGGTTGATATATATGACACACAAAGGTCAGATAATTTACAACAAAAACAATTATGTTTAAAATGAAAAAGTACTCTTCATATAGATTTTCTCATATAAATACAATATCAAACTCTAATATCGTCACTTCACTCTTTCCATTTCAGAATTGTCGCTTCACCATCTAGCCTTCGCCGCCTTTCCTCCAGACACTAGCACCGCCAACGTCACTCGCGTCTCCTGGAAGCCAACATCACTAGTGTCCAGGGCCGTCTAATGAATTTGAAGGCTCCCGTTCAAAATGTAAAAATGAGGTTCCATATTGATATAGAAAACTAAAAAAACTCTCAATCTAAATACTTATACTTAATCAATTGAATACTTATTAAATAATGTAGATTTTTTTTCTAAAACGTACTTAATACTTGATTTGAAGTAATACAACTCATTAGTCAAGCAATTTGAATAAAAGAAAACTAAAAGTACCAATGAAAAAAATGATTGGTCTATATTTTTCTTCTTCACTAACTGTATTTTAATATATAATATTACGTAGTACTATATAATACTAATAAATTTTCCGAATCTGGGGCCCATTAACTGGGGGTCTGTTCTGAATAACCTAATTAATCCCCTAAAAACGGCCATGTTAGTGCCTCTCGTTGTCCCCTACAACTTCTACTGCTCTTCTTCATCAATTTGGTGCTCCAATGGCTCAAGGACAGGCAAATATTGGATGATGCATCCATGGACGTTGTCTTCTCCTATGTTTTCATATCTGTGGCGGCTAGGATTTCGTCTAAACTGTGGCGACACTAACTTCTCATATATGTGGCCGCACTAAGCAGTGGCGGAACCACCATATGACCTGGGGGTTCTGTGCCCCTGCAGTTTCTTTTAATTGTTGAGGTTAAATCCTGGTGGTCCAAAGGCCCAACACAACCCTTTGACTTCCGTAGAAGTTCCTTTTTAAATTAGTAGATTGGATTTAGTGAGTGTTTAGAGGCGAGTACGAGGTAGAAAGTACAAGCAAATAACAAAAGGCAAAGTGAATCTAATTCTATTGAAGTCTTAGAACGATTACAGCACGAGCCCAAGCTCAAACCCCTTAAATCAAGCTAATTGCTACAGAAGAACTAGAGAGAAGTCTATTGCTAAGAATACAAGTTTCTCGACCCTTTACAATGAAATAAAAGTTGTTGTTTATACTAGAAAGTAGTAGGTGGGGTGATATATATGCTCAACCCTAAATGGATGAACACCAACCATGAAATCTCCCATATCTCATGCTTGGGAGAGTTCTATATTGGGTGGCTGTTGGATCGAGTGGAGAATCTCAAGTGAGGGAATCGTGTCGAGCGACACTAGCCGTGCGGGACAACTGAGCGACATTCCTGAACCGGCTAAACTGTGATTGGTCTAGTATGCAAATTGAGCCTCCTGGGGTTTTTGGACTTAGACCTGGGTATGATATATCAACTCAAGTCACCCATTTCTCATGTTCCAGGTATGCCTTGGACACAAGGAAGTAGATTTCCGATCCTCGGTGTCGCATGGTGCACTCGTACGCTTAGACCATGTGAGTCCTTGCAAAGGCTTGACCGTTTTATCCCCATGTCATGAAGAAGTGGGTTTTTGACTTGGATGTCGTGCAGCTTTCCCGTGTAGGGCTCCATGAGACCTCGATTGTTGACACTTGTCTCGCCGGATTTTGATGCACAGAGTTGACGGTTTTACGGTTGTTGGTTAGTTCTCTTAGGTTCAAGTCATGATTACTTGACCTTTCGTCTTTGTGCGACACGTGTCTTCAGGGACGCTCCTTGCCACATGTCGGTTCAGGATCTGCTGTTGAAACGGTGCCTCGATCTATAAATACATCTCCTAGGCCATTGGTTCAAGGTTTCCGAATTTCTGCCTTCTCTTTATTTATTGGATCTTTTTAGAGTAGTTCTATCCTTATCGTTAATTTTTCATTAGTATTGTTTTTGTGAAAACCTCTATATTGATTGTAAAGTGTAGTACTATATATGTTACAATCAATTTCAAAGACATATCATTCAAGATTACATGGTAGATATTACTCGGTCAAAAGAAATTCTTGTTTTCCTTTTCTATATTTCCCAAAAAATGCATTCAAGTATCCTTAAACAGCATAAAAGAATTAGTTAAATGTCTAAAAATCCTTCCCAAAAATCAATATCATCCTTCCAAGTAGGGTTATAAATGAATTGATTTGAACCGAATATTTGATATTATTATTTAGATTCGTATAAATTACTGAATATTCATTCATTATTACTTTGATCTTATTTTATATTTGTATTTGATTTGCTCGTTGTGATTAAATATATTTGTATCTTATTCGAAAAGCATTAAACGTCAAATGTATTTGAATGCATAATTTATCCTTTTGCCCATTTTTTTATTTAAATTAAAATCATGTACAAATTGCTTCTTCAAAATTAACAACGGCATAAATACATCAACAGAGAATTATAAGTTATAACGTCAAAAATAGGTTTATTTCGAAATCTTTGACTAAGCAAAAAAATTAAAATAAAACATGATAAATAACTACTAGTTTTAGTTTATTAATTACATTAATACTATGTTATTAATAATTTTAAATTATTATGTATTATAATTAATTTTACAGAAAAAACAAAACATGCAAAATACCTACTAGTTTAAGTTAACTCTCCGGCTAGTTGTCTATGGCCGACTTGATGGGTTTTTTATTTGATACAATCTATTGCACGAAAAAATTAAGTTTGGGACATCGAGGTCTATAGTGTTTGGTGGCAGGAAAGTGACTTTATGTTCTAACTGTTTTCAATTGCACTCTTCACAAATTGTGCATCATTCATATCATCATGTGGTTTGGCATTATCTTGATGATCGTTGATAATACTTTGTGTAACATCATGTCCTTGATGGCAGGTCTTGTTAGACAAAATGTGGTTTTTGTCTCTAAAATGTAAGTTGCTCTTTTTTTATTATACCTTTTACTTATTTCTCATATGTGAATGGAAATATACCAATTTTTCCATCCCATAGAAATTCCCCATTTTACACAAACCTATTTTGACCTACCACTCCTAAAAACATGATATTTGGTATATATTTTTAACAAATTTGTAGAGGTCTACCTCACAGGTAGGGGTCTGCATATCAGTTTCACTTAGGGTTTTATCAGTTTTTGGTTTGATGTTTTTTCGATTTTTTGTTATGTTCGGTTTGAAACGGATTGGAGGAATATATGAGGATGTTATTGAATACTTTTAGTTCGGTTTAGTTTTATTCGGTTTTCTTGGTTTCGGTTCGGTTTAATACGGTTTGGGAGAAATGTTATCAAACTCAACCCAAATTGCAGATGGTTCAGGTTCGGTTCGGGTTCATTTGGTTTTGTACAATGTTAAGCGAAACCATTTTGTACAATTTTGATCACAAAGATTATTGTAGTATGATGTACTTTCTTTGATAAAAAGAACTAATTTTCATCTACGTGGATGTGTTCATAAAAATGATGAAATGTGAAGTTTAGGGGATAATTCATATGCAAACAAAATTGTAACCTTTTAACCCTTTTTATATGTTTGAGGAAGGGTTTTATGGTATTGGATACCCTTTATATGCTTACTTTTAATGACATTTGTCTGTAAGTATTATGTCAGAGTCTCACTCTCTATCTGCTACCTTGTCATTAATGTCAATTTATATCCTCTAAGAAAAACTATTTGGCCGGTGCTGGAGGCGCACAGGGATGGGGATGTCATCCTTTTTTTAATGAGATTTGTTGCTCGAAAACTATTGAGATGGTTTGAAGTGGCTTTCTCACCAACTACTCATGCAATTAGTCATGCTTTGCGCGCACATTGTTTGTCTACATGGACATAGTTGTCTGTGTTGGGTGTGTCTCGGAAAAACGAAGAAATATTAATTAATAAAAATAATTAATTAATTTAAATAGCTAAAGAAAACCAGAAATAAGATGGAACGGAGTTTAGCCAGAGCTCGTGCTACGTACGATGTCTTTAAAATGTATTCGTCGCCTCTCACGATGCTAGGAGCGTTGCAACGACCGTTTCCCAGGATACGGTGGCTAACAAACTAACGTTTGAGCACACAAACGAAAGTTCCGACGAACT